AGGTGGCACCTGGAACACTTATCTTTATCCACTCAGGGCAGAGAGGGCGCTGGGTCTCAGCCCAGTGGGGTTGCTCAGGAAGTGTGGGATGGTGCCCAGCTCACCGGGCCCATGCACTGCCCTTGTTTCCTGGCCCAGATCTGTCCTAGCTGCATGTTCTAGAGATGGTACAGATGCCGAGAAGGGACCAGATTACCGTCTTCTCCTTCCCCTGAAACCCCAGTAATGAAAGCAAGAGAGGCAGGAGCACGCTGCTTCTGCCCCCACCTGCCTTGGACCAGTGGGCAATGAGGCTGGGCAGCAGGCATCTGTCCTGGACCCCTTGGAGGGGCAGAGGGGGTGGGTGGCAGCCTGGTGGCCAAAAGTGGTCTCTGGAGTTATTTCCAAATGATGATCTCATTGGTGTTTTCAACACACTGAGAGCTTTGAAAGCTATACTTGCTCCAGGCCTCTCTTGACCCAAGCCTGCCCAGCAGGGTCTGCAGGGGTAGTGGGGCTGTGGAAGGTAGGAAAGAGGAGGTGATGATCTGAAATGGAGCAGGGACAGGGCTGGGGACGCCGGGAGGCAGGCAGCCTGGGACTGGCCTGGAGGCTGGGCTGACTGGTTAGGCAGTAGGCCCACCTGAGGCCACTCTTGGCGGGCACAAACTCCTGCGTCCAGCTTCGTCTCTGAATACCGTTCGTCCACAAAATCGGAGAAACTGAAGAATTTCCATAGGAAGAGGACTGGATGGAGCAGTGGGTCAGGGAGGGGAACTCTGCAAAGAACTCCCGCTGCACAGGGGTTAAACATCGTGGGGGCCAAGAGAGGCCAGACTGGGTTCACATCCAGCCATGCCACTGCTGGGCACGTCCCAACCTCTCTGGGCATCACTTTCCCCATATATTAAATGGGGATAACAGCTCCTTCCTCATAGGGTGGTATGAAGAGTAGATGAGACCAGTATGTAAGGGGCTTAGCAAGGGGGCTCCCGGTGAGTGCTCAGTGACAGTATTGCTGAAATGTAGGAAGCACCCCCTCTGTTTGAACCAAGGGTGGGCAGGTCGGTTTGAAGTCAGGGGGCTGGATGAGATGAGCTTGAGAGACCCCTGAGCTGGAGGCCAGTGACACCCTCACATGGGCTGGGCAGGGAGACCCACAGAGGCTTCTGGTGACCTGGGCTGTACTGTTTGCAGTTAAGCATCATTTTAAGGAGTGGAAGGGTGCAGGATGTTGGGAAGGTGGGGAAGGGGGTTGCTGGATATACAGAACCCTCATTGCTCCCACCCAGCTGGGCTTAGCAGCCAGACACTGGCCGGGCCGTCTTTGGGCCGGTTTCATCTTTGCCTGGGACACGTCCCTGATCTGAAGCCCCGAGGCCTCCTCGCTGTCCCCTCCCCCTAGAGCTGCTTTATCAATCCTGGCCTCCCCAAACCCAAGCCCAGTGACTTCAGTCAACTGATGGGGTAGAAAGAGGCCTGGATTTGGAGCCAGAGACCTTTGAGCTCAGGGGAGTCGCTTGGCCTCAGTTTTCTCGGCTGTAAAATGGGCTGGTTCTGTTCCCTACTTCCGTGAATGCTATAAAGGATTTTGTGGATTGCAAAGCAATCTACAAACATCCTCAATTAATTATTATCTGGATTCCAAAACCAACCTCCCTCCTTGATCTGCACCCTCTGCCCTGACTTCTGGTCCCAGGGTGTCTGTCAGGGTCCCAGTCTGGGTCCCATCAGCAGCAGGGGGACTGAGGAGGCCTTGCGGGGGAAGCCGAGGACCCCAAAGCAGGGGCTATACCTTCACACTCAGGGAGGGGGGAGCCAGAACTGGAAAACCCAAACCCCACAGGGTGGTTTTTCCTATACTGGTGATCTGTGCCCATGAGGGAGGGACCCAAGGAGAAAAGGGTTCAGGTGGGGGAACTTTTAGGGAACTGCAGCCTCTGAGTGTGGCATGGAGAAAAATTCTTCCCAGCTTGAGAGAGGGGCCTGTCCCGCAGTGATCCCCACCCTGCAGCTGCTCGGCCCCTTCCCACAGTGGGGTGACATGTGTGTCTGTTGGCCCATCACACGGCCACAGCCCCAAGGGACCTCCCTTCCCACCCACCCACAAGTCGAAGCTCAGGGCAGAATATGACCCTCAGAAATCCCATCGGGGGCCTACCTTGACTCCTGCCCTGCAGCCCATGGAAGGGTTAAACTCGGCACACCTGCCCCTGGCAGGAGGGGCTGCAGTTTTCTGCAGCCCAGTTGTTTCCAGCTGTGCTGCAGCAGCCCGTCTACCCTTACAGTCTCTGGACGAGAGGGATCCTGAGGTTCATCTGAAACAGTGCCCATGGCCCAGGGACCCCTTGCGACTTCTGTGATGAGCCCCAGCCTCGCCTTGGATGTCCTCCCATGACCTTCCAGAGCCGGCAGCTCTGAGCTTTGCAGCCTGTGTGGCGTACGTCCTGGGGGTGCTGCTCGCCTGCCCCGTCCACAGAGCTGAGAGCACAGTAGGCATGCGAAGGGTGCCCATCAGCTAAAACAGCCCGGAGGCACAAGCAGGAGAAGGGGCACGGCCCCAGCTTGGCCCCTTCAAGACCCCTTGCCTATAAACCCCCCTCACAGTCGCCCCCAGCCCCTCTCAGGCTCCTCTGTCCTTGGGATGCCCCCAGGCCCCCACATCCCAACATTGTCCGTGAAATGCCTTGCTTTCTCACTTCTCCTTCATTGGGTGGAAGGCAACATTTAGAAAGGTGCCTCACTTGTGGCCATTTGAGACTCAAGTCACTTCTGGTACCCCTTGTCAACTAGGACCCTTTGTGTGGCTGTCCCACCCCAGCTGCTCTGGAAGCTGTCAGCATATCTCCGTCTTGGTGCCCCTGGTCCTATTCTCATGGCTTCCTCTGCTCAGCTGGTCCCCCCATCTTCCTCCTTAAGGGGACAGCGCTTGGGGAGTTAGCAGAGCAGGGTACCCCACATGGCCTTCAGGGACACCCCCAGCTCCTCCCTCGGGGAGCAGCCAGATCCTCACCCACTGGACCTCCACTGCCCCAGTCGAAGCTTCGGGGCTCCCAGCACCGTGGTCATCTGTCTGTCCTGGTGTCCTGTTAGCACACGCACCCGTGTGCACATGTGTGCGCCTGCACTCGTGCATACACACAAACCCCCGTGTGGCCCTCTTTCCGGGTCAGAGACTCAGAGGCAAGGCCCGGGCCTGAGTGTGTTGGGTGGAGCGTCTGTGCCCCAACCACCTCCTGCCCCGAGGACGTGGCCCACGTTGTGCCTGGCACTCTCCCGGACTCCGCAGGAGGTGAAGGGGTTTACTGTCCCCCAGGAGCTGGTGGATACACATCCCTCGCCCCTCGGGTGGGACGACGCAGGTGTGGGTCCCACCCAGCTCTCCCTGCTTCCGCAGCAGGACTGGCTGCAGCTGCCCATGGTGGTGGGCGTGGGCGCCCCTACCCTGGAGTTGGTTCTTGAAGCCTTGTCTCTTGGTATGCTTCTGGGGTTTCCATGCTAAAGCAGCATTCAAGCCTGTTCGGCCTCCCCTGCTTCCTAATTCCTTCCTGTTCCCAGCTTATCTCCTCCCCTGGGGCTGGGACACACTTCGGCCTGGTCCCACTGACTCACCTGTGCTCAAGCTGTGCCCGGCCCGCCTTACCTGGTCCCCACAGACCCATGGCCTTCTCCTAAGTCCTCTCCTGGACCTCAGGGACTCCCCTAGTGCCCCATCACTGGCGTGTGTCTGAGTGCCATTGGTTCCCCAACCACACGGTGGCCCTAAAGGCTGAAAGTGGCCTCCATTTCTTTGTGGTACCCTCCCTACCCAGCCCTAGCACATACCAGGCTTCACAAGTGCTGGTTGAAAGATAAACATTATTATTTACACTAGCCACCCCCATCTCCCAGCCCCACTCCCCCAAAGCCCTGCTCCGGCTGTCCAGTATCTCTGGATGTGGCTGGGTCCTTACCAGGGGTGTAAGCGGTCAGCTGGCTGGTTGCCCCAAGAGCCACTTGTCCTGCTCTGGGTAACTTGAGGCAGAGGGGGGCTGAGTGCCCCACCCTCTTCTATCTTTCCTTAGCTAATGATGCTTCCCAATGAGGTCATCCAAGAGCCACAGGGTCCCTTTGACCAGCAGAGGGGTTGCCCCAGAGGCCAGGTCACTGAAAACAGCAGGCTGGTGGCCCCCAGTATTCTCTGCCCCTCAAAGGGAGGCTGGCCTTGGCTGGGGCACACACTGGCTTTTGCTCAAGGACACTGTCACCCTCCCACCTCCCCATCGTCTCACAAAGGGGGAGACACCTGGGGCAGGAGGTTAAGGAGGGGGAACCCATGTGGGCTGTGGGGTAGTAAAGGTCCAAGGGTGCAAGGCAGTGAGGCAGGGCATTTCTGGTGGCAGTGCCACAGGGTCACATGAATTTCTGGTGGCTTGGGAGGATTTCGGTGATGTGGCCTGATGTCTGATGATGCCACCTGATTTCTAACAATGTCTGCAGGGCTTCTGACAGCATGGCCTTGGTTCCCAGTGGTATTGGAAAGCATTGCTAAGGCCTGGAGGCATCATCACGGTGGCTTGAACGCTGTCACAAGAGTTTCCCATGATGCTCCTGGAGGAGTGGATGGCCCCCCCCACAGTCGCTGAGGACATCTCGGGGTCTCCAATGGGCTGCCATCTTGTGCTCTGGAAGAAAACACCTCTTGGAGGGACCCACATGCTGCTTTGGATTCCCTGCTCTCCATCTCCACTCCATTTCTGTCCCATTCTTGGGGCAAAGGGGAGCCAGAGGCCCTGGGTCCAGCGCAGGCCTATAGGTTATCTTCCATTCATCCCGTGGCTCAGACTGCTCTCAGAGGCCTGGAACTCCTGCTCAGCTGGGGGTGCGGGAGGGGCCTCCCGGGCTCTCAGTGCCAGCCAGCTACTCCTGGGGGCACAGGGTGTGGGAGAGAGCTGGTCCCCTCCACACACAGGGCGGCCAGCTGAGCCTGGCAACCATCTCCCAAGCCATGGATCTTGGGGCCCACTCCACAGCCCTCCAGCTCAGACTGCTGTGGACTGTTTGATGCTGTGAAAGCTGACACGGGTGGGGGAGGTGGGGATGGACATGGCGCGGGCCACGCGGGCGCGGATCGAGTGCTTGTCCTGCCATCGGTGCCACCTCTTCCGGATGGCAGAGCGGACCTGTGGGCACAGAGCAGAGCATAAGGTCTGAGCCCGGGTTTCAGGACCCCCCTCTCTCCCCTAGGGCTTCCACAAGCAGCTATACAGGGGAGCCATGCACAGGGGGCCACTTCGGAGGTGGCAACATTCACATCACCAGCATTGTTTATTTGCATATTTGTTAGGACAATTTTCTCAAGCGTTCTGAGCAAGGGGTACCTTTGTCAAATCCACCCAGAGGTGCCATATGGCCTTTGCCATGAAGAATCTCTACCCTCAACCCATACACATCTCCTGCCCTCAACCTACATACACCCCTTGTCCCAGGGCTCAGCTTCCTGGTTTTCAACAGCCCATTTCACAGACTCATTGATGAGACTGGAGCCCCGGCTTCCGGCTCCCACACCTACTGCCTATGAGAGCAAAGAAGTGGGCTTGCCGCCTCGGGCAGGAGGAGGCTACGGACAGTCTCCGGTCCCAGCAGGCCTCCTGCCGCCCTGAGTCCTGGGGCCCCAGGTCCTCACCTCGCTGTTGAGGAAGCAGTAGAACACAGACACGAAGAAACCCTGGCGCGGAGGGAGAAGGCAGGTCAGGCGACGGGGGCAGGTGCGGCCCCATCCAGCTTCCGGGCTGACCCCTTTCTGTCCCCAGCCTCCCACTCCTCCAGGCCCCTGCCTGGAAGAGTCCCCACCCAAAGAGGTGCAGGGGACAGTCAGGGCTGGAGCGAGGGGCTGGGGTGGGGGACGGCCGTACCTGGAAGGATTCCAGGAAGGAGTTGACGTAGACGAAGACGAGCCGGGAGACTTCGTCCTCCGCGGGGTTCACGAAGAACAGCATGTACGTGATGCCCAGGAGGGGCAGCAGCACCAGGGTGGCCTTCACAGCCTTCCTGGGGTGGGGCAGGTAGGGGGGGAGGCCCAGAGTCACAGCCCACCCGGGAGGGGGCTGGGGCCTCTGGCTTGGTGAGAAGGACCGGGTCTGGGGGAGGGCTGTAGCAGATCCCCGGAATGTCTGAGACAAGGGGAGCTGGGGTTTCAGGAGGGACTGTCAGGCCTGGGGGGACACCCTGGGTCAGAGGCTGGGATCTCTGAAGCGCCCCATGGGTGGGGGGAGGCAGGTCTGGTTACCTGTACTGAATGGTCTCAGATGTGGTGGATGCCCGGAGTTTGGTCATGAGGATGCGGACAATGTTGAAAAGGAAGATGAAATTGATCTGTAATTTGACACACGGTGGGATGGCCTGGGCATGGGTGTGTGCAAGATGCTGGGACGGGGCAGGGACTCAGCTGTCCCAGGTCTGGTCTCCGCCCCCTTGCTGCTCTCCCTCCACCTTCATGAGCCCTTACATATTCCTGGCCCTCTGCCTGCCACTTCTAGGCAGAGGGATCCTTTTAGTCCACTGTAAGCCCTGCTTGCCGCTCTCCACTGAGCCCCTCTCTCCTGTCCCCCTACCCAAGTTCTTACCAGCAGGACCAAGATCATGGGGCCCTGGTAGATGTAGTCCGTGTACACCCCAGGCCTTTTGCCAAACCAGCACCTAGAGGGCCACAGAGGTGAGAGGAGGAGGGTCACCTGGGTCCAGTTCAGTGGCATGAGGGAGGAACAGTGCTTGGCCAGGCCAGGACTGGAGCCAAACGCCAGGATCTGGGTGCCCCAATTCCAACCCTGGCAGAAGGTCAAGATAGCTTTCCATCTGCAGAATGCATAGAATCCTTTGAGATGTAACGCTGGAAGCAGGCACTGTGGCAGGGAGGGGGATTGGGGAAAAGACCACTGAATAGAACAGGCACGGGTCCAACACACACTGCTCCCCTCAGTCCCCACTGTGTCTCTGGTGCATGCCCATGAGGGGGGCCTTGCCCTGTACGTGTCATGCAGTGACGCTCAGTAGCTAACAATCTCTGAGTTTGTTTAATGGCAGAGCCTGAACGACCTAGAGGCAGAGACTCTACAGGTCCCACCTGTCGTGAGAGGCAGAATTGCTTTTCGTTTTCTTGAGTTTCCCTCCAGCAAGATCTAGGGAGGTCTGGGGGGTGGGTTGGGATGAGGCACATAGGAAGTCCCATGTCCTTGTGCAGAGATGATGGACCCTCGGGCATGCAGATCCGCAGTACCTAGATCTCAGCATGCTTCCGTAAACAATAAACTGAGATTTTTTTTTTTTTTTTTGGCGGTACGCAGGCCTCTCACTGTTGTGGCCTCTCCC